TGCATCTTCTTTTTATTTTGATGTAACACAAAGTGATCAGGAAATTATTAATGCATACTCATATTACGAAAATAGATCTGTTTCTTCTCCTAATGATTTTAATCAATTTGAGGGTGACTACTACCAAGTTTGGGATGAATATTTCTGGATGACCCCTGAAAAAGGACAGCTACTGACCCCTGCCGACATTTGCTGGGAGCAAAAGACTCATGTAGGCCGGGAATTCCCAAGATATTACATGAAACATATGGAACTATTGCCTACCCAAAAATGTAAGACTGTAATGGATGTAACGTTTATTGCCAACAAGTCTGTTATATGGCCAGGGACAGATTGGGAAAATAGCCCTGGTATAAGATGGGTAGCCCCAAATAACACTTGATGGATTTGTGGATACAACCTTTGGCCCTGGCTCCCTGTAGGATGGGTGGGGAGATGTACCCTAGGGTTTGTGTTTGCCCCTGGAAGGATTCATAAGCAAAAAATTAGTCATCCTGTTAATTTACCTTATGTTAAAGCCCGATGGTCACGCTCTGTTTTTCATTGGTATGATTATTTAGCCTCAGTTTTTGTGCCCTCTTTAGGAGCCACTGATATTATGCTCAGAGTAGAGGCTTTGAACAATTTTACAAAACAAGCTTTGACAGATACTAGAAGAGCTTTAGAGGCTTTTAATGAAGAACAAAAACAGATGAGAAAAGCTGTTCTACAAAATCGTATGCTTCTGGATGTTCTAACAGCCTCTCAAGGGGGGACATGTGCCTAAATAAAAATGGAGTGTTGTGTATATATCCCTGATTATTCCTCAAATGTTTCTGATACTTTAGAAGATATGAAACAACAAGTAGCCGCTATGGATTTTTCTGACTCCAGCATTTGGAGTCAGATATCCACCTGGTTTCATGGTGGTTGGTGGAAATCTATAATTTTTATTATTGTATGGATATTATTATTGCTGTGTTTTGGCCCTTGCATTTGTCAATGCATATCTCAAATGATAAATAAAAGATTGCTGATGTTTTCCCGTTTGCAAACGCGGCCATTTCCCTTGAGGGAGATATAATGGCCATTAGTAAAAGGAAAAGGGGGAGATGCGGGGAGCCGGCCTGACTGCTCATGCTCCTTCTTGGCCCTGAGAGAGATCAAGAGGTCCCTCTCTGTCCCGCCACCCCTGATTTATTAAAGTGCAGGTTGGCCTTTCTTACCTCCCTCAAGGAAATTGCTGCAGCGACCTTTTACCCATTTTCCTGACTCTGACGAGATTGTCAGGCTCCTGTGTATGGTTTATGTCTAGGTAATCTTTAACTGATTGTAATCATACTAAGACGCCAGTACCATGCTCTGCTGGTCTTAAAGAGTTGAGATAAAATTCCTGAGCGAAATCTAATGTCTGCGATTCTGCACGTATGCATGTCTTTGATCTGAATTTAGTGAGTCCTGTTAGCATATATATGTATGTTACCCCTCAATAAAGTTGTTGGTTGTTGGTTTCAGTCAAGAGCTGACTCCGTTCCTCTCAACCCCATCTTTCTGAGTCTTTATTTCTTAGGTATTTTGGCGATTGCGTCCATGACCGGTTCGTTTGCCGGCAGGCTCCGGCAAGTTTAGAAACTGGTATTTATCCAAAAGTCCTTTCTATAAATCTTCTTGAAGAGAAAGTATTTTTGCAAAACTTGATTAGTGCTATGACAATATTTTGAGATAGTAATTAGAATTATGCCCGATAACATTTTAGCCAAACATACCAGAATTTTAGGAATGCCATGTAGTTTCTATTATATCTATATTAGTAACATTTACCATACAGTATAACCTGAGACTTATTACTCACTTGACAATACTTCCCATGTCATTCTGTATAGAAAATGAGCCTAATTAATGTAATATGTCTCTTTGGGGTATTTCAGGGGCCCTCTGAAGCATCCCAAAGGTAGCTAGAAATAAAGTTCTTCATTAAATGACTTAGGAAGTTTTGTCAACAAGTATCAAAAAGGTTTAGAACACTCAGTCAGATAGGATTATAGGTCATTGTGAAACAGTCCTTCTTCATATAGCCAAAGTAACAATAAAAGATTTCAGAACAAATCATTTAAGAGATAAAGAAACTTAAATCTGTTATCAAAGGCAGTTCACCATCTGAAGAAAAGGTGTCATCTTAACAGACAGAAAAGCTAAATTCAAGTTTTGCAACAGACAGAAAAGTGAAAATCAAAGCTAAATAAGTTTTACTTTATTAAAAGGCAAACAGTTAAATTTATTTTACACTTATTTTAAACCATGTACAAAACTCACTTCTCATGGCTCATGTTTCACAAACCTTATCACTTTCTGTACCCATTACTTTGTTCTTCCATCCTGAAAAGCCACCTGTAAGTCAGGCTTACTTCCTTTTCCCCTCACAAAATGCAATTCTATTCCCCATACCTTCTTTACCGAAAACACACTTTCTACTTTCCTGAAGCAACCAAGAATTGATTTTTTTTTTTTTGAGAAGTTGGTCCATTTTTAATACTGAATCAAAAGAAGCTGTTTTTGCCCTCCCAAAATGCCCGTCCCTTTTTACTGAGATTAACATATTTCAGAATTTTAAGTAAACAGTTGCTGTAACTGGGTCAAGTTTCCCCAGGTCCATCCTCCAGGAACTGCCGGCATTATCGGCAGTGCCACCCAGTCTTCAAGGGGGATATCAGCCTGGATCTGCTCTGTAATTATTGCAGAGCTCCAATTTGCTTTAGCCGTGTCAACAGTTTCCCTCTCTCATGCATATTTACTAGATCAGTGGATCCAGCTATGCACTCTTTACCAATGAAGACCCGAGGTACTGTTCTGGCTCCTGTGAGCTGTTGCAAGTAATCTTGAATCTCATTGGTGTCCCGTTGGCTGTGATATTGACAAATTCCAAACACCCTTGTTTGAAGGGCAGTTGGCTGAGGAGCTCCTGAGTCCTGCCGTAGAGGCAGGTGGGCTTGATGAACACGACCACCTTCCCAGACTGGATGTTGCTGTTCACGAATGTTTGAGCCATGCTGCCTCCCCCGGGAGGACACCTTGACTGCCAAGAACTGACTTTTATATTAACATTTTTTAGATTGGTGAACATAGATACCAGTGGTAATTTCTAAAACCTTTGCGTTCTTAGAACATTTTAGGATGGCACCAAACAAAATGAGGGCAAAGTGAGGACTGTAGCCCAGGAGGCGGCATCTCAGATAGCTCTGAGAGACTGCTTCAAAGCGGCAGTGGGGAAGGTCAGTATAGAAGGTTTTGGTGAATGGGAAGTTCAACACCATGAAGCAATTATTTTGTAAAAGGTGTTTTGTTAGTCATGAGGATATGATGTCACCATGAAGGGATTTAGTGCTTCTCTAGATAGGAGGAGATACAACGATTGAGACCATAAAATCTGTTCCTAAAAACATTAAAAAAAAAAAAAACCAACTATCTAAAGACCTGTCTCACCAGATTCCCTGGAGCGTAGAGTGCCTCACTCCACAGTTTTTGAAGGTCAGCAGCTATAGCAGCATGGGGTTCAATCTCCGTAGAGGCAGATGGCAAATGCATTTGTTGCTCAGTCACTGGCATTGCTCTTGGTAAATGCCACTTGTAGCTGACAGGTGTTTGCTATGACCAGTGTGTTCTCTTAACAAAATGTTAGCTTTGCCCTGCTTCATGCTGTACTCCAAGGCCAAACTTGCCTGTTACTCCACGTATCTCTTGACTTCCTACTTTGGCATTGCAGTCCCCTATGATGAAAAGGTCATCTTTTTTTGGTGTTAGTTCTATGAAATCTGTAGGTCTTCATAAAACTGTTCAACTTCAGCTTCTTTGGCATTAGTGGTTGGGGCATAGACTTGGATTACTGTGATGTTGAATTGTTTGCCTTGGAAACGAACAGAGATCATTCTGTCGTTTTTGAGATTGCATCCAAGTACTGCATTTTAGACTCCTTTGTTGACTATGATAGCTACTCCATTTCTTCTAAGGGATTCTTGCCCACAGTAGTAAATATGATGGTCATCTGAATTAAATTCACCCATTCTGGTCCATTTTAGATCACTGATTCCTAGAAAGTTGATGTTCAGTCTTGCCATCTCCTGTTTGACCATTTCCAATTTACCTTGATTCATGGACCTAACATTCCAGGTTCCTACACAATACTGTTCTTTACAGCATCGGACCTTACTTCCACCACCAGAGACATTCATAAATGTGCGTTGTTTTTGCTTTGGCTCGGCCTCTTCACACCTTTGGAGCCATTTCTCTGCTCTCCTGCAGTAGCACACTGGGCATCTACCAACCTGGAGAGTTCAGCTTTCAGTGTCGTATCTTTTTGCCTTTTCATAGTGTTGATGCTAGCAAAGTAATGCTCAAAATTCTCCAAGCTAGGCTTCAACAGTACATGAACCAAGAACTTCCAGACATTCAAGCTGGATTTAGAAAAGCAGAGGAGCCAGAGATCAAATTGCTAACATCCAAAAAGCAAGAGAACATCAGAAAAACATCCACTTCTGTGTCACTGACTACACTAAAGCCTCTTACTGTGTGGATCACAACAAATTTTGGAAAATTCTTAAAGAGATGGGAATACCAGACCACTTACCTGCTTCCCGAGAAACCTGTATGCAGGTCAAGAAGCAACAGTTAGAAGCAAACATGGAACAATGGACTGGGGACTGACCAGGGCCTGCTGTGTGACCTAAAGGAGATCATGGGATGAGTGGAGATGCCCCCTGCTGCTGTGTGTATGAGGCCTCACAGAAGGGGAGTGTGATCTGAGGGAAAGTGTCGGAAAGCTCCCGTGTTGGTCTCTGTGCCGGAATTGACTGTCCTGAGTCCTTCCTGAGACAGTGGGCACAGGGGACTCTCTGTTCCTCATGGTGAGGGCTCCCCTGAGTGTGTGGTTGGGGCTCAGGAAGGGGGCATGTTGACCCTAAGCATTAAAAAGCTTGTTTTCTACTTTCATGATAGAACTTTGAAGACTCATGGATGAAGAAGCCCAGAAGAGGAAAGAACAGGAGTCAGGCATGGCTCTTTCTTGGGTAAAGTCATATTCTCAGTGGATTCTCAGGCTGCCTTCCTGAAATGCCCTTCTCTGGACTCCCTAATCATGTCTGACTCTGGAGTGTCCTGTCTGACCTGTACATGCACACTCACCCCCGGCCTTCCCTTAGGGCCTTTGGTCTCCACTGAGGTCCCACCTCCCCATGACCTGTAACCTGGCCCTTGTGAGGAGGCTCCCCTGGGCACCATCCTGGGCAGGGCTTCTCACCCATGGGTCTTGGTGCTGTTGGGCAGCAGGGACTGTTTAGGTCCCATCTGGATGCGCTGTCTGCTCTCTGTCAACCAGGGTAAAGACACTGTACATGGACCTCAGGTATTAGCATGTACAGTATACGGTAAAATCTGCAAAAGAGGCCAATGAGGGGAAATCAGTTCTGACTTTTTATAGACCATTTAAAACTAAATGAGCACCCCCTTGAATACTGAAGTGTTTGGGAATGGAACGGAACGTTCAGAAAGAGATGTCAGGGCTAGGGAATGTTTTGTTATACCATCTAATTTAAACTGTAAAATCAGGTTTACTAATTTTTTATTCTTTCTTTTTTGACCACATGATGCAGCTTCCAGGGTCTTAGTTTGTTGAGTAGGGATCGAACCTGAATCCCTGCAGTGGAAGTGAGGGATCTTAACCACTGGACCATGAGGGTGTTCTCCAACTTTACTGATCTTGATGAAAGGTTGCTGCTTGAACGAAAGGACACCGGGATTCTTGGCCTCCGGAGGAAAAGAATTCAATCCGGGGCCAGAGACAAGGCTTGATCGCTCAAAACTTTCGTTCAATAAAGTTTAATTATTAAAGTATAAAGGAGATAGAGAAAGCTTCCGACATAGGCATCAGAAGGGGGCAGAAAGAGTACCCGCCTCCTAATCTTCAGCTGGATGTTATATAGTCACTAGCAGTCTGTTAATGAAAGAAAGGAATGTCTTAAAACTCAGAATGGCACCAGACCCCTCATTCATAACATGCATTTTGGTATAATCTTGGCACCAGATGATTCATCCCGGGCCATAAAGGATTGACTTGAATCTTGTAGAAGGGTAGATTACCATACAAATATCTTTGTTTACATAGATTAGGGGAACAATATCTGAGTGTAACATACTGGTTTGTCAAGTTGTTTCTGAGCCATTTAAATGGAGTCTGGGTAAATGCATAGTACATTAACATAGCTTAAGACAAACATTTCCATAAGAAAAATGCATTGGTTAACTCAGAGTTTGAGAATAGTTAGCTTTAGGTGACGCCAGGTGTCATTATGGCAACACAGTATTTTAAGAGAATCCGCCTTTTAAATTTGTATAGAGAAGGGAAAAAAATATCCCTAATTTGTTTCCTCTTGGGGCTTAAGAGAGATAAAAATGCCTGACACTTGCAGCCTATTTCCTCCATTTGGAGACCCCTGGTCTTCCTGCCTGTTACCCTCTCATTAATTCAGTATTTTCTTAATGAAATAAAATAATAAATTTTGGATTTTAGTACAAGCCTAAAATTAAGGATAAAAATCACATCATTATTTTTAAAATGTATTTATTTCCTGTACTGTATCTGCGTTGCTTCAGTGTCTTTTCCCTGGTTCTGGTGAGTGGTGACCACTCTCTAGTTACGGTGCGAAAGCTTCTCATTGCAGTGGCTTCTCTGTTCGTGAAGCACAGGGTCTCGAGGGCGCTGGCTTCAGTAGTTTCACCTCCTGGGCTCTAGAGCTCTGGCTTAGGAATTGAGACTCACAGCTTAGTTGCCCCTCAGCATGTGGGATCTCAGACCAGGCAACAACCTATATCTCTTGCATTGCCCAGTGGATTCTTTACCACTTACCTGCAGGGAGTCCCACATATTTTTAAATACAGGCATTTTTATAAAGATTAGAAGAAATCTTCTGTATGTTATTTTCTGCTTGTATTACTTTTATTTTTTTTGAACTAGAATAAGATAATCTTGAGGAGTTCACTGGTGGTACAGTGGCTAAGAATGTGCCTGCCAATGTAGGGTGCACAGGTTCCATCCCAGGTCCAGGAAGATGCCTCAGAGCAGCTAAGCCCATGGGCCACAACTACTGAGCCTGTGCTCTAGAGCCCGGGAGCCATAACTACAGAAGCCCACACTCTCTAGAGCCTGTGCTCCAAAACAAGAGAAGCCACTGCACTGAGAAGCCCGGGCACTGCAGCTGCAACTAGAGAAAGCCCACTCACAGCAACGAAGACCCAACATAAGCAAACTTGTTGACAAAGGTACTGAATGAAGAAGTAAAATAAAAACATAGAATGGGAATGACTCCAACGTTCTTGCCTGGAGAATTCCATGGATGGAGGAGGTGGTGGGCTGCCGTCAGCGGGGTTGCAAAGAGTCTGGCATGAGAAGCAGGTAAACAACAACTTCCACACACAGCAGATTGAGCTCTGAAAAACAAATCTAAGCGTCTAACTTTCTTCTTGCAGATTCTTCACTGACTTCCAGTAGCTTTTGGAATAAAGTCCTCAATCCATAGATCTTGCATAAATTAGCCCCTGCTTGGCATCACCCCATTTACATTTCCTGTGTCCCCATCACAGTGGCTGACTTTCTGTTCAGTAACTATCTTCCTGCCTCAGAGCTGGCACTCAGGCTGTTCTCTCTGCTTACAACAGTCTTCCGTTTCCCACTTTGCCAATCCTAAGTATTTCTTGCTCACAGAGACCTTGACTGATTTCTCAGTGTAGGTTAAGACTTTCTGTTTAATCTTGTCTTAGCACCGGGCCTGTGTCAGAGTGCTTATTTCGATAGTAGTGTTAAAATTGTGGATGAAATTGGCTGGCTGGCCACTAGAGTGTAAGCTCCATCATGTTCACTGCTGTATTTCAAGTTTGATGCGCAAAGCTGATGCTGAATGAATTTTGATAGAATGAAAGAAAAAAAATAAAGACAACTCCTCTTGTTTCAAGCAATTGTGTGTTTACACATGCATGCATGAATGCATGGATATGTAGCTCCATGGTTTTATTACAAAAACATCATCTCATAAATAATGGTGTATGCTTTATAGCAGTTTCAGTTGTTATCTTAAGTGTATTTCATGGCCTTAAGTTTTTTCTGCATCATCACATGAATGATGTAAGTTGTAGCAAGATTATAAACATTGTGTGGGTTGGGATGAGAGAGTGTGTGACCCTGTATCATGACCATTTATGCTGTTCTGTTGTATTTCAGCTTCCTTGAACTTGTTTCAGATATTGTCAGGGAACGCTCTGTGGATGCTCTTTCCTTCTTTGGTAGTTAATTAGTTGATTCTTTAGGTTCAGTTGTCACTCCCAACCACCTGAGATCAGGTGCTGTTGCCTCATCTCTTAACTGTTTGATCTGAGCGATTTCCTGTTTTTTTTTTTTTTTTTTTTGAGCAATTTCTTAGAGTGACTGAATTTACTCTTGCCAGAGTAAGTAGGGAGCACGAGCACTGCAACTGCAGCGTAGCCCCTACTTGCTGAACTTGGAGAGACGACCAAGCAGCAGCGAACACTCCCCTGAGCCAAAAGAAATGAGTACACCAGTGTATTAAGAATAACAGATACATTTATTAAGGAAAAGAGAGGTTGTTTTCTGGAAGAAGGCACAGTATGTGGCATTACTTGTGAGTAGGAATTTCTGTTTCTGATCTGAACATTATCTCCATTCTTGTGGCACAAGGAAGACCCCTGGATTGTGGAGAGTGAGGTGCTAATAGCAGAAATCCAGATGAGTGGGAAAGTATCAACAGTGTGATCACAGGTCAGCTGTCACAAGGACAGAGAGGAAGCCACACCATTCATGGGGTTTGGGAAACTCTCCAAGGGGGAGAGTTCTGTGAGAAAACAGATGTTTAATGTTTGTGAATCTCACAGGAGGTTTTTCTTCTCCCTAACTGACGTCTCTGTTCTTCGACATGTGAAATGTACAGCACCCTCCAGTGGAGCTGTAGCGGCCACCGAGATGAAGGCGAGGTCTTTGTATTTGGCCTGTACTGGGTCTTTTGTGCTGTGTGGACTTCTGTCTGTTGGAGACGAGTGAGGCCTACTCTGTAGTTGTGGGGAGCATGGTTTCTCAATGTGGTGGTTTCTTTAGTTGTGAAGCACGGGCCCTGGGCACACGGGTGTGAGTAGTTTTGCCATACAAGCTCACTATCTGTAGTTCATCAACTTATTCTCTGTGACATGTGAGATCTTCCCAGAACAAGAATCGAACCTATGCCTCCCGCATTACTAAGCAGATTCTTACCATGGAGCCACCAGGGTGTTAAGGAAATTAAAGAAATAGTCTTGTTTAGGCTTCAAGACAAAGCAGTGCATTCCTCTGACCTTGCTTCTAACCTGCATGGAAACTGCCCTGAGTGTGAATGTCCTGAATGTCTTTTGTGAGTGCAAGGCTTGCAGCAGCATAGATAAGATAGGGAACAAATCTTGAGATAGTTTAGCCTTTGCAGGGGCCCTTGCCAACCAAGCCCCAGAATTAGTGCCATCCAAGTTGGCTCCTGGATCCTCCTCTCTGCCTACCGTGAGGTAAATAAAGGTAACTTAAAACTGTCTAAAGAGAAGTTCCAACTGGAAGAAGAATTATGCAATTTGTGAGGATGATTATCCATATTACAATGTCACATTATATTTTGGCTGATCAAATCTTCACTTTTTAAGTTGACTCTCTTTAGCTGGCCTACAGCTCCAGTAGTGTCCCCCACTGCCCTTTCTCTCTCCATTCTCTGTCCTTTTGTGGCCTTTCACCCCTCCCAACCCCTCCTCCTCCCTCTCCATCAGCTAGTCCCCTTCTAAAGGCCCCTGTCTCTCAGGGGGAGGGGGAGCCCAGGTTTCCCCACTCTAGCAAATTTGTTTGCCCCTTTAGAGTCTTCTGATCAAAGACCCCATCTTCCTGGAGGGACATTGCAAGATTTTTATCAGTCCTTCTGGCCCAGTTATCACAGTCAATTTGAGCACTATTTGATCTGTATTTTAGCCATAAAGGTATGACTATAGAAAGGAA